ATGGGTGGGAAGGGAGGGAGAAGGGCGGGAAAAGAGAAAGGGGGCATTACGATTAGCATGTATAGTGTGGGAGGAGCATGGGGAGGGCTGTGCAACACAGAGAAGACAAGTAGTGATTTTACAGCATCTTACTACGCTGATGGACAGTGAAGGGGCATGTGGGGGGGACTTGGTGAAGGGAGGAGCCTAGTAAACATAACGTCCTTCATGTAATTGTAGACTAATGATACCAAAAAAAAAAAGCCACTTCCTTCTACTTTCTGCTCAATAATAATTGGGAAAGTCAGTAATGCTGTTATCTGTAATCCTGGGATAAGTAGGAAATTTCAGAGAAAGTTAGTTCCTGCCCCTGGGACTTTCCATGGTAAACAATTATACCCTGTAACTGAAAGGACAGAAAATAAAATTTAACATTAAAAAAAACTATGAAACGGTTTTATGTGCATAGGAAGTCACAAAATAGTACAGCATGGTCCTGCATACCCTTTACCCAGTTTTACTCAATGGTTACATCTTATAAAATTATAGCACAGTACCCAAACTGGGAAATTAACACTGGTATGGTGTGTGTCTAGAAGTCTATGACATTTTGTCATACACGTGGATTCATGGAACTATTGCTACTATCAAGATACAGAACTATTCATCATCACAAACATAGCTGAACTACCCGTGTGGTCACCATCAATCTGTTTTCCATATCTGTAACTTTTGCATTTTGAAAATATTATATAAATGGAATCATAATTTTTATCTTTTTGAGAGTTCTTTTTCCACTCAGCATAATGCCTTTGACTTCCATCCAATTTGTTGCATGTATCAGTATTGCTCCTTTGTGTTGTTGAGTAATAGTCCACAGTATGGATGATCCGCAGGTTGTTTAACCATTCACCTATTAGAGGACATTTTGGTTGTTTTCAATTTGAAGCTATTACAAATAAAGGCACTATGAGCATTCGTGCAAAAAAAAAAGAAAAAGAAAGAATGAAGGGAAAGTCAGTGGTTAAGGGGAGGTTCAAAGAGAAGATGGGGTCACTGGGGAAAAGCTAGAGAAGAGGTGATGCAGCTTCCCAGTACATCAGGTTCTCATGGTGATGGTTTTAGAAATGAGCCCAGGGGCCCCGTGAGACTTTTGGGCACCGCTGATGAAGATTTGATGTACCACACACCATGGCCCACTAGGATAGCATCACTGCCTCACAGCTGTGATCAATGGAGACTAATTACTCTTTCTGCCATTGAAGATGTACAATATCCCAGCGACTTCTAGAATGTAGGATGTTGAACTGAACAGGTCGTGAGACATGTGGTAGAGAGGGTGCCACTTATCACAGTGGCCGTGGAGGCTCACACAAGGGCTGGCCCTGGGCTGTGGGGGAACCTGGCTTCATGAGGGAGTGAGCAGCTCTAGTCAAACCAGAGTGACCAAGTGCATGGTGGGTGGACTACTGGCCATTCCACTGCAGCTGTGACTGAGCAGTCATCACAGGTAAAGTGGGGTTTTGAGTCTATCACTCCCTTTGAGTGTGCTGCCAAAATTCCCAGTATTTGAAAGTGTGACAAAAATAAGCATTTAAAATCGGATAGAGGGTGAAATGGCCTTGACAGGACGCCCAGGGCAGCCAGTGTTCATGTACACCCTTCATGTATAGCATTGATGTCCAGCCTGAGTATGACTGCTGATGAATCCAGCTGCTCCTAGCAGTTGGAACTTTGGAACAAAGAAAAGGCTAATCACTTAGCATGTCCCCGAGTTACTAGGGAGGCCCACAAGGCCCAACAGGAACTGACAGTCTTCTCCTTGCCCTCTCAACCCCCTCCCTCCCCCAAAGCCCTTATTCCCCCATTCCCCTGGATCTCTCTGCCGCATCTTCACAGGACGATGCCAGCTCCCTTTCCATTGCTGCCCCTCCATCCCCTTACCTGTGTGCCCTCTCCATCCCCCATGGCAGCCACCTGCTGTGACTCTCCCACACTGTCTCATATCAACTGACCTCAGTTCCCTCTCCTCCCCAACACCCAACCCAACATGGGCCTCCCTCTCTCACCCTCATCCCCCGCATTCTGCACTCTTCTACTCCCAGGAACTAACCTCTGCTCCTCCCATTCGCCTCACCTCCACCTGCATATCTCTGATCGAGCCCCACAGAAAGGAGCCTGTCTTGCCAACAGGTTCAGGTTCAGCCCCAGGCAAGTTCATTCTTGATTTGGTGAGACAGAAAAATGACAATGGAACGATCTTGGGGTGAAAGGGTTTATACCCAACTTTACTCCCACAGTGACAAGTCAAGCACTAGAATTCCATCCACCACAGACCAAGTCTGCATGCAGCAAGCCGGTCTCTGCCTCCGGGCCTCTCACCCCTGCAGGTCTCTCAGTCTCTGTCCTTGGTGCTGCCACCACTCCAGCCTCTGCTCTCCTGCAGCCATGCAGCCCAGAGCATGGGGGGAGTTCTTTATATAGAGTCAGTAATAATGTACTGTCTACACGTGTACAGTAGGCAAGCGGACCAGGGTCAGGTGAGAATCCTGGCCACAGGAACTGTCATTTTCTCTATGGAACCCCTGATCCTTCCTCCTCCCCCCAAGTCCCATTGAGTCTCTGGTTCATCGTGACAGGAACCACCCACCGCCGCTCCCATAGAGCCCTCTCATCCAGTCTAACATAAACTGACCTCCATACCCTGTCCCTCCCCACCACCCCTGATCCTACTGTAGCTCTCTGTTCAGGGGGCACAGGAATTGACACCAGCCCCTACCTCCTGTCCAACACCCCCAAGCTCCTACAGCTCTGCTCCATCTGCATCTGAACCGACCTTTGCTCCCCTCACCCTCCCCGTCCCCAAATCACCCTTTCCTGTCCACATGGGCTGACCTCTGTCCCTCTACTTCCCAGTCCCTACTCCTGCTTCCCAGTATCCTGCTGATCCATCCCCAGTTGAATGGACCTTTGCTACCTTCCTCACTCCACCGCACCCTCTTCCCCCTACATTTCTCTGGTCCTCTGACAAGCTCTAGCCCTGTTCCCTCCCGCTCCCTGCCCACGCCCCTCTCTGTCGGCCCACACACTGCCCCCCAGACCTTACCCAACCATTCCCCAGACATCTCCTTGGCCCAGCCCCACAGAAACTAAGGCCTTCCGCTTCTCTGTCCCCCTCCACCACCTCCCCTACACCTCTTGGTCCCACCCCACAAGTGCTCACCTCTGCTCCTGCCTCCCCATCACCCCTACCCTCCCTCTACAACTCTCTTCATCATCTGAGCCTGCACCGACCTCTCCTAACACTCGCTCCCCTGCTGTCCAACTACGTGGCCCAGCCCCAAGTGAACTGACCTCAGCCCTCTCCATTCACATCTTCCCACGCCCTCGCAGCTCTTTTCTACCTCCTCAGGAACTGGTACTGTCTCTGTCCCTGGCCCCACCTTCCCAACCCTCCAGCAACTCTCCACCCCAGTCCTACCCACTGATTCATGCTCCATCTCTGTCCCTATCCCTTCCACTGAGCAATTGCAAGCCTGTCTTAGAAGGGCTGCCAGGCGTGGCTCTGGCAGGCGCCTTATGCTTATTTCATCCTTAGGGATAACATGTCATTTGCCACACTCCCTCCCCACCAGAGCCCTGACTTTACTTCAGTCACAAGAACATTAAGCAGGGGGCAATGGAATGTTTCCAGGATGACAGCTCCTGTAAAATGGGAAGTGGAGCCCAGCCTTCTCACTCCTTTCCAATATTGTAGTCTCTTATCTGACCACATGCCTCTTATTAGAAAACAACAGTATGACAAATGTCAAATCCTCCCAGGAAATGACGTCAACTCAACCTTGGGGAGTAATCGTAAAAGCTTTATGGACCCACAAATTAATGACAAAGCTTATGTGACAACTATACCAAAGGAATGAGTGAGAACAGCACTTCTGGAATGTCTCTTCCTGCTGTAAAGCCAGGCACTCTCCATCCATCCGTGGCAGATCCGCAGCAATCCTGAATTAAGCCCAGCTCTTCTTCCCATGGCACAGGCAGGGGACCTGACGCAGCTGGAGGAGGGGCCAAGTTACCCAGGCAGGAAGTAATAAAGCCCATGTGAGAACCCGGGTCTGAGGCTCCTCATCTCCCCCCAAACACCCCAGTATTTCTCAAGGAGTGGTCCCTCTGCAGGAGACTTTTCTGGGGAACCCCCCAAGTCCTCCATGTTGCTAGTGTCTAGGTATAAAGGCCAGGGTCATGCCTCTTTAACACGTTCCCCATGTCGGGTTGTCAGATGAAATACAGGATACCCAAGTAAAGTTGAATTTCAGATGAACAATTATTAAAAACCAAAACATCCAAATGGGATATACTTATACTGAGAAAAACATTGCTGTTGATCTGAAGTTCAAACCGACCCACATGTTCTATTAGCTAAACTATGTACCCCTATTCTGGGATTACAATGCCCCCAGAAGTTTGAAACCCATTCTCTCCATGTCCACGTGGGTGAATGAGACTCCTAGTTGCTCGTTTTCCATTCCCCCTTGCCCCTTCTTGCTCCCCACCTCAGCCTGGGGCAGAGACTTCAATACCATCTGCCAGGACTTCTCTGATAGGTCATCTGTGTAGGGCCAGGAGGGGATGGGACAGCAGTCAGCCCAACCCAATGCCAAGATTCTGCAACACCATCTGGGAAACAAATGACCAGAGATTGGCTGAGTTCAACCTACTGTCATAATACCTGGCTCTCTCTCCCTGATTCGTCCAAGCACAAATTACCAGTAAGACTTTTTTGGCCTTACACTTTGCCAAACTACTTTGGGCGTACCATTGGGCTTAGGTGAAATGGAAATTCTATGTGTTTTACATACCAACAGGTTCCCAAGGCAAAAAAAATTCATGCCAGTGGCAAAGAATATTCTTGTTTTCTGTCCACAGGCTGGTGAGTTTAGGATCTACCAGGATGCTTTCAACACAATTTAGAAGATGAACTGATAGCCAAGGCTAAGTAACTCATCCTTAGAGAACAAAAGTTCAAAATAAGAAAGGCTTTATTTTTAAGTCAAAACAAATAGCACAAATACACACCCAAATCCAAGTGAGAGAGGTCTCTGGGTTTTATAAAAGAGAAAGCTGCACTCAGGTGTCAATTAAAACCAGAGCCATTGAAGACATCCTCCCCACCCCACTCGTGGCAGCACCAACACAACCTGTGCTCCTCTAATAAGTTGCTCTGGGGGGACATGAATGTGAGGGTGCATGACAGGACTGAAGTGCTACACGGCAGAGTGGTAAGGGGGCAAAAGCTGGAAGAACCTTTTCTCCACTCCAACATGCTCTCCCTCTGTTGTGGGGAATTTAAGTAGTCCCCAGGTCACCATACAAACAACTTTAATGTCAAAGAACACTTTCGAAAGTCTAAAATAGATTCGAGTTTGTTACTAAAGTTATACAGGGAGGTCAGTGGGGGAAAATGATTTGTTTTCTCAAAAACTAGCTTTCACAGAGCAGCAGCCACTAAATCTAGGTACGTGTGCTTGCAGTAGAAAGAAAGAGACTGATCTTAGTAAAGGCTTGTCTTTTTCATGATGCGCAGGAACTCTTGCTCATTGACTTCTCCATCTCCATCTCGATCAGCTTCATCAATCATTTCCTGCATGGTAATAAGGATTCAGGTTAGATGAATTCCTAAACGAAACCAAAATATGACTAAACAATAGGCTTTCATAACACTACATGAATAGACAACTGTCCACTCAGTGCTTGCTTCCTGAAAAGTTAGGTGATGACCAAAGTCACAGTATGTCACACGTATCACCTGGAAGGGAGCTTGAAGATCATCTTGACTAGGGGGGGTTCCTAAAACCTGAAATAGTAAGTAAAATTGTATGTGTGTGCGTTTTCCTAGGAGCAGGGTCCATAGGTTTGTTATACTATCAAAAGAGATATTAAGAGGTCAGTGAAGGGACAAGAGAACACTAGTTTTTCTTCAAAGTGGTGCTCATATCAAAGAAAACGTAACTCAAAGAAGTCACATAGGGCTCCAAGCAGGAATTCTGAGTTCCCGTCTGATGCATTACAAACCTGCAGCTCCTCATCAGTGAGATTCTCACCCAACTCCTTGGCTACACGCTTTAGGTTTTTGAATGATATCTTCCCAGTTTCATCATCATCGAAGAGCTTGAAAGCTTTCAGGATTTCTTCCTTGGTGTCTTTCTCAGACTTAACAAGTAGAACATAAAACACATGAGTAGAGAACACTGAAGTGACTTGTGGCCTGTAGCCCCACGACTGCCTAACCCCTCTGCCCTGCCCCGACATCACCCCATGGTCGTGGTGATGGCCTTCATAAATAGGTCCTAGGTCACAGGGGATCAAACATCACCCAGGGTAGAAAAAAAAAGGACAAATCATTAAAATTATTACAAACCCAGAGGCTAAAAAGGAAATATACACGATTGCACTTAAACAATCTTTGTGTACAAACCAAAGAGAAATTGGATTTGTTTTAATATACAGGGGTCGAGGATGGAGTTAAAATTAGGGGAAATATCCTCTTTAAGCTGGTAGAGGAGGGATCCTCATGGCTGGGGGCAGAAGGTTGGAAACAGAGGGCTCTTTCACTTGTTATGAGATCACAGAGAGTTTCTGGGACTCCAAGGACTCCAACACAGGAAGGAAGCAAGATATCCAAGCGCTCAAACTCCAAATACTCCTGAATGGTAGCTCAAGATAGAACCCTTGGGAAGAGCAATTTGGAAACCAATCTTAAATGTGGGACAGCTTTACTAGGTGGTCACAGAATGTTAAGTTTCCTGATCTGTTAAGTCAGTCCACAAAGAAAAATATAGGTATGATTAGATGGTTTCAAAGCAACAGAATTACTAGAGGAGGAACAGACCTGTGCCCTGGGAGACACCCCTGAGACACTGACGGCAGTTACTCCTCCTCAGGCCAGGACACCATAGATGCGCCATGCTGAGGGGCCAGGGGGCCAGCGGAAGAGCAGTGGTCCAATGAGAACATACTTCCTGGGTAGGATGGCACTCGGGGCTGAGGTGGACTGGTGGGGCGACATCTCATAGTCTCTCCTGACCCTAAGGATCCTTGAAAGGAGTGACACCTGAGAGACTACAGAGCCTGGGTGAATTCAACCTTGGAAGTGCTGACAGACCAAATCCCCAGCAGAGCAGAAAGCACAGCTGCTGAAGTAACCAGCCCCCAGCATAACAAATGGGAGAGGAAAGAGTTTTGAACTTTAAAGCATAGAGACTTTTCTGGTCAAAATGTAAGTCACTGTGATATTGTTGATGTTTACAGGTTTTCCTGCTGGAGGCTATCACACTAACATATTAGCTGGAAGAAAGGTAACAGAAAAAAGTGACAGCAGCAGTATAGTTTCACTACTTTACAGGGGGTAAAATGACTTTTCCTGTGACTTGGTGGCCTCGGAGTAAGCCAGGTAGAGCCCAGGCCTCCTAATTCTCAGTCACAAATACTATGCTTTATTAGCTCAACTCTCTACTTTGTATTAACTTCTCTTCAGTGACAACATTTTTATATCTAGATTCAGATTTGTCCACCCTTATGGATAGAAAAGCAGCTGATTATCTTAGCTAACTTACCATTTTTTGAGTCATCACAGTCAAAAAGTCACTAAAGTTCATTTTTCCTGTCCCCTCCTTATCGATTTCAGTTATTATTTTCTTGATCTCTTCTTTCTTGGGTTCAAAGCCCAGTGCCCTCATGGCCACCTACAATGAAAACAGGAGCATCTCAATATGCACGTCCAGACCCAGCAGGAGCAGAACACAACAGTGTTGAGAGCAGTAAGCCAGCATCCGCAGTCCTGTTAAGCTAATCAGCAAAACTATAACATTATGCAGATTGATATTTGCAACTGAGTCTTAATAACACGAGGTAAGTAGACAGGAAAAATAGCACAGTGCATCCTCCCCTCTTACTTTTTGCAGGGAAAAGAGGGCAAAATGGGTGGAATGGTCACAGGGAAAGAAGACAAAGGAGCAGAGGCAAGGCAAAGCAGCAGTGCAGCAGGGTCCAGGGCTTGCCTTCAGTTCCTTAACATCTATGGTCCCCGTCCCATCAGCATCGAAGAGATCGAAAGCTTCCCGGATTTCCTGCTTCTGCTCTTCAGTAAGCTCTGGCTTAGGACTCATCCTCTTTCGCTGGGCAGTTGATGCCATGTTTGCCTTCTTAAAGTTAGAGGCCTTTAGACATTTTACAAACACATAAGCACAATATCATGTAACACAGTTCATATTTTATATAAAATAGTGACAGACAACCATATCTATCTTAAGAACAGTTTATACCACCAAATTCCAAAGCTTTGCTTAACAGGAGAGGTAACAGAGTTCACTGGAAAGAACGGTGACTCTTTCCATGTACCTGTATCCCTCCCTCTTCTTTACTATTGTTTGTAAAAGCAAGTTGTTCTTCTGGACGTCTCGTATGGAAAATCACCCTGGAAGAGAGCTAGCCAAGTAGCTGACTGTGGATAACTGCACAGATAATCATCTCCCCCTGATTTGGGGGATCCGAATTCTAGAAATGTCCTTCAAACAACCACTCGCTTCCCTCTAAGTACTCTGTTTACTTCCTAGATTTGCGTAAATATCACTAAGTTGTTAAGATGTACATTCCGTCAATATCGAATAATAAAACTCAATCTACTCAGCATATCTGTGCCTTCTCTGAGAAGCTCAAAACGTCTCCTGAATGTCCCCGTATTTAAATTTTAAAATGCACGTTAACAAACATCATCAACCTTCCCCAGCTCTGTATGGAAACTTTGGCAGAGGGAGGCGGCCAGGGTCTGAGCGGGGTCGCGATCTGCGCGGAAGCAGAACCTTCTTTGTGCAGGGCCGTCCCCGAGGGGCCGGGGAAGGCCCGGGGCGCCCGACGTGGGCGCGGGGAGGACCCGGCTGGGGGCGACCGGGCAGCAGCGGCGAGTCCCGGGCCCAGCGGGCCTGCCGGCGGCCGTAGCCCACCCTTCCGAGGAAAAGCTCGGAGGAGGGCGCGGGCCGTGGGGGCGTCGGGGCCAGACCGGCGCCTGGGGAGGCTCATGCCCCCGCGCCGCCAGCACTCACCATGGCGGCCCGGCTCCGCGGCCTGTCGTTACGGCAACCGACGTACACCCAGAGTCGGCGCCGTTCCCAGCGGCCCGCGCGCGGTCGCAGGGCTGGGCGGGGTGGGGCTAAGCCGCCGGGCGGGGCGCTGCGGGCCGAGACCGGGGGACGGGCGGCGGCCAGGCCTCATTGGGCAGGAGCACGCCCGGGGCGCCGATTCGCCGAGCCGGCGCCGCGCCGAGCCAATCCCAGGGCGGAGGAGCGTCTGCAGACCCTCGGCTCCCGCCGGCGGGGCGGAGGCGGCGGCCGCGGGCGGCGGGAGCTCGGCGGGCGCAGGCTGCGGGCGCGCTGAGGCCGGCCGGGCGCGGCCCACGGACGGGTAAGGGCCGCCGCTGTGCGCGACCGGGCCCGAGGGCGAGGGGCGGCGGGCGCGCCTGTGCCGGGGCTTTCTGGGCTCGCCTAAGGCAGGCTGGCCAGGGTCGGAGAAGACCGTGACCTTGCGTGTCGTGGGGGGGGGGGGAGACTACTCACGGGGGTACAGACACCCGGCGAAGGGAAGGGACGTGCCGAGCATTGTCACCGAGGTTTGCACGGCTGGCAGAACCCCAGTCCGCCGAAGCTCTTTCTCTGAGGGTGCCCCTTGGAGAGCACCCCCGTCCCCCAGGCCACATTCCAAGAGAGGATCGCTGACTTTTCGCCCCGCCTACAGCAGCCCAGGCGCCTGTGACTTTGAGGAGAGTGAGGGGGGTAGGAGCGAGCATGGGGGGAAGAAGGCGTCGAAATAAACTCTTTGTTACCCAAACACTCAGGTGGACAGGGAGGAACATTCCAGGCCCAGACACCCCCGTGAGCCGTCACCGAGAAGTTTGGAAGTGTGAGGCATGCTTGGAGAATGATAACGGGGGGGTGCGAGGGGAGGCCCTCAGCCAGCCCAGTGTAGGAGGGCTCTCAGCCCTTACCTGCCTCCACTCTAGCCATCCACGACACAGCTGAAGTTTCTCAAGCTGAGGAAGCCCTGAGGTTTTTATTAGCATCTGTCCAATGAAATGGTTCACTGACCTGCCCTTGGCCCTCTCGCCTTTGAGCATGAACCAGGTCCAGACCCTTTCGGTTCTACTCGACTCTCTGTTTCTGTCTGCACTCCATTAACCAGCTTCCAAGTTCTATCATTTCTCCCCCTCACATGTCAGTTTTGTCCTCTTTTCCACCTCTGCTGCTCCTCTCCCAATTCAGGCTTTTCACCAGCAGCCTCCCATCTCGTACAAGCTGAACTCCGCACCATCATCTGCAAGGCCAGGCATGACATGCCCCCTCCTCTCCCCTGAACACTAGCTTCTTTGCTGGGCCTCACATGCACAGGCACACTCTTGTCTTAGAACTTCGGATCCAGCTGCCCGTCTGCTTGGTCCACTTGTTTCCCTTCTCCATGTCTTTGCTCCACTGTCACCTCAGTGAGCCACCCTTAGCACCCTGTTTAGCACTGCAGTCTCTAACACACTTAAGACCCACACCTTGCGCCACTTTTTTTCCCCCATAGTACTTATCACCTTCTAACCTACCATATATTCCACTTACTTATTTTGTTCTTTATTTCCCACACACTAGAAGGTAAGCTCAATGAGGGCAGGCATCTTTGCTTGGTTCATCTTAGCTGGCGTGGTGAGGTGCAGCATATTAAGTGCTCAATACATTTTGGCTGAATGACTGCTCATTTCCTGCTCCTCACCTGTCTCATCCACCCTGCTCCACCAGGTTAATCTTCCCAGTGAACAGCTCTGCTCAGGTCACCCCCATGCTCTTAAGCCTTCAGAGACTTCCCGTGACCACAGAGTAAAGTCCTGACATTTGAGCCTGGCATCTGAGCCTCCTGCCCAGTTTTGCCCGAAGTCCTTCTAACTTCGTGTCCCTCCCTGACCTATTTTTCAGTCTGTGGGATGGCAGCCTGGCAGAGTAGAAGGAAGAACCACGAGTTCTTCCTTGGCCATTTCCCAGCTGTGTGACTTTGGGCAAGTTGCTTGACCTCTCTGAACCTCAGTTTCTCATCTGATGAATGAGACCAGTACTGTCTCCCACACCGATGCTTATGATTCCTAACTATGATTCTTAACAGAACAGCATACTCTTATGTAGAAGGACCTGACATTTAGCAGCTTTTCGAGCCGTATTTGTTCTTCTCTAATTTGCTTGTGTCATTCCCCCTTCCTGGCATGCCTAGAGCCTTAGACTTGGCTAAAACCCTTCCCCATGCTGCAGCCAGAGTGATCTTTCCTATCTTAACATTCACCACTACTCACCATTTCCAGGGGTTCCCCCATCTTCTCCTAACCTGATAACACAGCCTCTTCCTGTTCTCAACTTTGGTCCCAATGTTGCTTCACACTCACTGTGACACAACTTGTCACATAGTTGCCAGAACATACTGGCCATGTACCATCACCTCATCCTTGGAATAGCTTTCAGGACACCCACCCCCTCTGTTTGCCTCACTCCTTCCGAGCCCTGAGAACTCAGTTTAGGGATCACCTTCTTGGACCAGGCATCCTGCTCTGGGTTTACCTTCATCAGAGCTCAAAGGCCCTCCTGCAGTTCTCTGCCAAGTCTGTCTCCCACACTAGATGGCAGGTCCCTGAAGGTCTGTGCTGTGTCTCATGCAGTTTTCACTTGTCAGTGGATGACAGTCAGTGACTTGTGAGTGTGAGAACACCTGAAGGAACGAGCTGACACACAGGGTTCCTTTATACGTTGCAGCTCCCCTTTTCCCCACTACAGCTTGTTTGAGCCCCACAGCAGCTCTGAGCTGGCAGGAAGGACTGCTGCCGTACACACAAGGCCTCTTAGACCAGCTGCAGCAGCACAGTTCAGCCCGTATCCCACTCTAGGCTCTTTGCTGGCCTTCCAGGGGCTCGCCACCTCATGGGCCAAGACGAACATGGGGAAAAAGTATAAACCAGTGTGCAGAGGGTTGGAGTGGAAGCAGAAACAAGTGCTAAGGAAACAGCTAACCTGGCCTAGGTAGGGGGAGGAGGTTTCACAGAGATGACAGTTGAGCTAGACCTTGAAAGATGAGGAGGAGCTCACTGTGGAGGTGGGAGGGAAGATCCTCCAAGGGGAGGGAACAGCGTAAGCTAAATCTCACAGGCACGCTGAAGGGTTTTCTGGTGGCTGCTGCAGATTCAGAGCCAGGGCCTTTATGTGTCCTAAGAGTAAAAAGACAAGCGGAGAAAAGAAAGACTAATAGAAACACATGGACATCCCAGGTCTGTGAAAGGACAAGGTTGGGCTGATTGAATCCTTTGGGGAAGTGCATTTTGCCTTGAGTCCTGTTTGTGGCTCTCCTGCACAGACAGGCGTTGTCTGTCCACAGACTAGTGATGAGCTGGCAGGAGCCACGTCTCAGCTCCCTGCCCTGAACTCAGACAGGGCAGCAGTCAGGGCCCTGACTGCCTCAGTACGTGCCTCTGAGTCACTCTGCATTTACCCTTTCCAAAGCGCCTGATCTCCCACATTCTCAGAAGGGGGAACACTTGTCTCTATCTGGCTTGAAATGGACAGACTGTCCCTTTTGTGTCCAGGACTCAGTGGTTGGGAATGTGCTTCAGCAGGAAGGACATTGGGCTACTTGCTTTCCATGGCCTCCCTTTCGTCTTTGCTGAGCATCTTCTCATATGCTTATTGGCCATCTGTATGCTTCTTTGGAGAGGTGTCTGTTCAAGTCCTTAGCCCATGTTTTAATTAAGCTATTGGGTTTTTTCTTTTTACTATTTAGTTAAAGTTCCTAATATAGTTTGAAGAGTAACGTCTTATTAGATACACGGTTTGCAAATATTTTGTCCCATTCCATAACTGACTGAATTCCCTTCTTTTTTAAAGCTAGTATTCCATTTTGTTTTTCTATTCATCCATCAATGCACATTTGGGTTGCTTCCATTTTTTGGCTACTGTGAATGGTGCTGCCATGAACAAATAGTGGGCATACCAATATGTTTTCAAATCCCTGCTTTCAGTGTTTTGGCATATATATACCCAGAGGAGGGGTTCTGGTTTCTCTTCATCCTCATAAGTACTTGTTATTTTCTGATTTGATGATGGCCATCCTAATGGATGTGAGGTGCATTGTGGTTTGGAATTGCATCTCCCTAGTATTAGTGATGATGGACCTTCTCATGTGCTCATTGGCCATTTGTAAAGATTGTCTTTTCTGGAGAATTGTCTATTCAGTTAGAACTATTCTTGGTCTTCACTTTAACCTGAGCATATATCACATGGGGGATTTAGGTTGGGGGACTTGCCAGTGGGATCAGACTCATTCCCTCAGCTAGTCCTGGGTACACCAGCCCCTAGAGACAACTCAAGTATCACCAAAATGCTTCTTTGGCTCAGAGTATTTACAAACTTTAAAATGACTTGTATGTAATTTGAGACAGTGTAGATTCCATTTTGTTTTTGTCTTTACAAGAGGCTGTTTGGCTGAGGATTACATGAGCGCTGTTTGAACAGTGGGGATCCTTGGGGGACAGGATGAGTTTCTGCCCTTAGAGGTTGAGGTAGGGGACCAGGTGTGCGGCTTCCTGCTTTTCTGGTGGTACAGTGGGCTATGGGATTGGCAGCTGTGCTATTTGACATTTCAGGAATGCAAAGAATACCTGCTCTGATTTCCTGGGGCTGCTCTAACAGATGCCCACAAACTCAGTGGCTAAAAACAACAGAAATTTCTCTCACGGGACGGGGGACCAGGAGCCAGAAATCAAGGTGTCTACAGGGCTGTGTGCCCTTTGGAGGCTCTAGGGGAGGCCATTTGCCACTCTTCCTCACCTCTTGCCACTTCTGGCAGCTCCAGGAGTCCTTGGCTTGTGACTACATCCCTCCACATGCCTCCTGCGCTTTCATTTCCTCTTGCTTCCCTCAGCATCAGGGGAAATTGCATAAGAACCCAGCAGTGGGTATTCATGAGCACAGCACCATCAGAAAAATAACAAACCCATTTGCCCCCAGTGAGGCTCCTGTGTCTTAGATCGCGTCTGGATGTGTGTGGTGAAGCACAGAAGGAGGTCTGCCTGGGCGTGTACATACACTGTGTACCCATGAGTTCACTGGAAATGTGAGTGCCTGCTTTGTTCTAGGCAGTGTGCTTCATGCCGAGATACAGCAGCAACCACGACA